GCAAAGTCCAGCGAGAATTTAAATAATCTCAGAAAAATTGCATGTGAGAAACTAATTTACCTATATTAGAGCATAAGAAAGCGCTTAATTGAAGATACCATATCAAGTCTCAAGTCTAGGTCACTACTACTAATCAAGCGCAAACAGGTAACGATCAAAAAGCATACCGTGTAAGTCATCACTTTCTGCCTTACTGAAATGTAGCTGATTGCCCCAGTGCAATGGATAATGGCTGGACCAAATAATACAAAAGGCAATAAACCAGCACGCTTGCAGCAAAAGACTAGCAGAAATATCAAGGACTCCAGTGGCCTAGGAACTGAATTTCAGACTGCAAAATGTCATTTGTCCCTCTTCATTAAAAGGAGGAAATATCTTGTAGTGCATTTTTATGGAAAGTACTATTCCAAAATACATTGGGAATAAAGCTGGTATCTTGCTATATGCTACTAATCTTCCACTTCCTGACCAGGATAGTCTAGGAGTAGGAAAATAATCCACATTGACTTTTTTCTTTCTTTTAGAAGAGGCCAACAATCTTCAGCGAACTCACAGGAACACATAAATACTTAGATCACTTCCTCCATGTAATGTATTAAGTATGGAATTAACTGCATTTGCATTTATCTTCTGTGTACCTTATACCCCCTCCTGCTGGAAAAACACCCTCATACACTGCTGCTGTATCCACACTGCGGTGAAGACACTCAGGCAATGGTCTCACTAATATTTTGAGCCAACACAAGCCAAACTACTGCCAAAAGCAGCAGTCTCCCAGCCACCCAATTCCCCCCCTTAACTCCATTTTTTTTCCTTTTGCTGGGTAAGTTTTAAATAAGGAAACTTATTTGGGTTAATTCACCACAAGCCTACACAAATGCACGCAGCAGCACAAGGACGAGGTAGCACACAGAGAGAGAAATCTCCATCCAAATGCAGGAGAGAGCAGGATCCCTTCTTTTGGCAACAGTGCCTGCTTATGGCAGTTTAAAGTGTTTGGGAAACTATATAGTTTCGACACAAGGTGGGCTAGTATCTCTCTGTGTTGAGGCTGATCTGAAGGAAGGAATAAAGCTTATCTATATGCAGATCTAGCCATGAGTGTGCCTCACAGATTTTGAACGTATAAATATTACTTTCATTTTCACTGCTGAAGACAACAGCCACCCTTTCAGGTATAAGCGCTAATGCCATTTTGAAAAGAGTATGTAATTATTATTATATTTGCAGATATGTCCTAATTCCCAAGTATCAGATTTCAAGCAAAAAACAAAAAGAAAAGCTTTAGAAAACAGCTAGGAGTCCATAAAAGTCCTACTTTGCAAACGATGACAAATTTGAGGCAGCATTTGTGAAAGACGCAGCTTCCTTTTCATACATGTCGTTGTTACAAACTTAGACCTAAGTGAATATCTGAGGCCCTTAACAACCTCTTCTATCTAGTATACTTACGGGCTTTAATCTGTATAATGGTTGTTAACTCAAAATAGGTTCAGTTCTCCTGTCTTATAATCAAAATAATAAAACAGCAGTACTACATCAAAGCACAGGAAACAGACTACAACTACAATTAGAGGATGAATCTTAAAATGTAAGGCATACTCATGGGGCTGCAACAGCACAGCAAAATGCAGAGCAAAATTCGCACCTTGGAGAGTTACGCTCAAAAGAGAGAGTTATTGTCAAAATAGGAAAAAATGCATTTACTGCTTTATTTTACATCTGAAACAGTTACAACAACTGAGCAGGAACATAATTTCTAACAAATAGGAGATGTTACTGAGCCCTACTTCTCTTTTATTTCTCAGGATCCTAGTGGCATGCTAAGCAAATTTAATCCCTACCAGCACACACAGAAAAAAAATATTACATCAAAAAGATAGGCAGGTAAGAAACCAAGGACAACGGTCCTCCCTGTCTAAGGATTCTTCTCTGCATGATGGTCATACACAGAGAGTAAGCTCTTCTTTTGATGGAAAGGTATCCTTTTCCTAGCAAGTAAACTCATGAACCAATTAAAGCTAGCCTTGTCTGTATTATTATTCCATAGGCAAATCCACGCTCTCATTTTCACAAGGCCTTATTACTCAGAGCACAGGGGTCTGAGCTTTTAAGGAAGAGTCTTGTACTGATTAAATAAATCTCTGATTAACTGCAGAAAGTCCCTTGCCTTAAAATGGTGATCGCTCTCTGCATCTTCTGTTAATCTGCCTATAGCTTTCAAACACTCTCTTGGCAACTCGTTGCTTCTATCTAAACTGCATAATGGGAGCAAGAATGTACAGAGGAGCAGAGCACATAATATTTACTAAACACAATGTCACAAGGAACAAAGAGGGACTGAGGAATCGGATGCTGAGCCAGTTGTATTTACAAGCAGAACGTATATGACAAGTTCTGGAGGTACAATTCTGGCCAATAAGAGAAGCATTTATGGTACCAAGTTACTTGCACGTTTCACTGTAGTATTAATGTTATCTTACAGCTACTTCATTTTAACACTTACCCATATCCTGGCCCTGAGGCCAACCTGAAATAATTTTTTGTAAACGTTTCAGTCTTTTGAGTTTATTTGGAGAAAAATAAGGCAATTTTCTTGTAAATGAAGAACATATCTAAGTCATCTTTCGTTATTTTGTCCTATCAGAGTTAAATACAGTTGCCATCTTCTGCTACCCTAAATGTACATATGTACCTGCTCTCCAACTACAATTTCTCATCCAGGCTAACTAGAAATTGTAGCTGTGCTATGAGTGCACATCAGGCACAAGATCAGATGAGAAACATACTCAGGCGCAAGTGGAACATTATTCCCACTGAAAAGAACAAACTTTGACAACTGAATAGTGCAATTATTTAAAAATATATATTTAAGAATTCAGTAACTTATTAAATTTACTAGCAGATACTGTATATATCACCACTTTCTAAACTGTCTGAAGTTAGGAATTAGCTGAGTCCAGGACAATGTTCCCAATAGCCTGCAACTGTAATATGTTCTCATCTTAAAGAGAGAAAATATATTCAAACTAAAAAAAAAAAAAACACCAACAACAACAGATGAATTGCAGACGGCTCCAGTTATATGCTTCTAATGAAAGAACAAGGGTTAAAACCTGACAGCCTTAGCTGGTTAAGGAAAAAGATCTGACACAAGGAGATTTTTATACATGCTCAGAGTAGCTATCAAAACCCACAGTTACGGACATCATAGGACTGCGCACTTCTGTTCTACAAATTTAATTGCTCTTGAACAATTCCCAATCTGAATGCTATTTTCTTTCACTGACCCTCTGAGAAAGGGTCGCAAGCACTCTGTGTTGCTGGCTAATATGGAGCTTACACAGCCCATAAAGGAACTTTTTATGACATTTCTGTTCCCTACTGAAGCAAAAACTGAATTCATGCACATATTAAGCAATTTTCATAGAGCAGGATAAACATCAAATTCTTTCAACTGAGACATAAAACCACCAAGGAACTGACCATTTGTGGCATGAGAGAGTCATGATACGAGGTGTTAACTCCAATGTGCTGGACAAATTCCAGCCTGGCTAATTGCAGTCAGCCTTCCAACTTTTCTCTCCAGTTGCACATTGATACAATATTCCTGTTTATTCCTTTCACTGCCGTGGCATGGTATTGCTGTTATGTGTTTGGTCACAGCTTCAGAGTTCTGTTCTGTATGTTGCTGTGTCTGTAGTAATAAACCCTCTGCTTAAAAACTTCTGGGCTGAAAGACTAATACAAATGTTTCTCCAAGTATATATCAAAAACAAAACACAGAAGCCTGGTTGTTGCTCAGAGTAAGAATAGCTTCCACAGAAACGGATGGGTTTCCAATAAAGGAGAGAACCAAGGAAAAGACATTTTTGTATCCCCTTTTAGCCCTGACTAATCCTAAAGCTCTTTTCTTCTGCTTACACGGAGTTTCAATGTGCCTGTTTTGCTAGCAGAATCTAAAGGTGTTTAAGATGTTCTGATCCCCTTCTCGTGGAGTAACTACTTACCTCTTTCCTAGCTTAATTTGTTCCTTAAACATTGATGGGTGCTATGCTCACTCTCTAGTCAATGACAACAGTGGATTAATATATCGAGACAGGCAACACAAAATCCTCTTCTGAAACACAGCAACGAGCTCCTGTCTCTTCGTCAGCGACTGCTCACTCTCTATCAGTCTGAACAGCTTAAAGTAAAATACACGCTGCTCCTGAGCTTTCAGAGAACCGCTCCCTATGTCATCATAGAGCGAGACAGTTAATAAGTGTGTTTTTATTAGTAAAACAAAACTATTTTTTTATATTTTGACACAGAGAAAATTAACTGATTATGAGTGAAAATCACCTGCAGGTTTGTATATAGTAATAATCAGAACCAGCTGCTTGGTGCAGAAGGTTAATTAATACTCCAGTTTTTTTTCTTGCCTGAGCTGGGTTCAACCAGTGAAACATACTTTTTCAAGGACAAAAAAAACCTAACAGCCAGCAAAATTCTGATCATCAGTATCTGTACAAGAGAAATTGTGTAGAAAGAACACAAAGAAAATTGCAGGGATAGGACAAATTCAGTATTTCAGTAGAATTACATGAAGGAGCTTTTCAGACTGTTTAACATCTTCAGTATTTCCACTAGCTACTTCCACTGCAGTTATTCATTTTTAAGAGCATTAAATTCACACTGAATTCAACAGAAACAATCAAGTGAAGTGTGTCCATGTGTGCATGCATGCATGCAAAATAAACAAATAAATGCATTAATATGTAAATAAAGCAAGCAATTTGGAGTGTGCAATAGCAGAAGTTAAAAGTTTGCATTTCACAGCCGGGGGATAAAAAGAACTACTAGTGATTTTGCCAGTTGCCATAAAATATATTAACTTCATCTGTGCAAGTTACCACCACAACACACATACAGAATTATTACCAAGTTTCCTAGCACATACCTCTTATACGAGAAAAAAAACAATTTGTTTTATAAGTGAATCAAACGAGTTCACTTACCACAGCTGGGGGATCATTCCATTCTTCATAAGAAATGGCAGCATATGGGTAAATTCTATCATTGATAATCTGAAGAGTTGCAAGAGCAATTGCTTTCATCGATCGAAAATACGCTTCCCAGAACCACCTTGCCTGTAAAGAGAATAAAATTCACTTTCACACTGCACAGATACAGTTTTAGTTGGCCATACGCAATCCGTTCAATGCAGTCTACCAGACAAGTGGAAATGAAATGTGGAGGCTTGTTTATTGTCACTAGGATGTTTCTACAGAGCCTGGAGACTTCAAGTTCAACAAACAACAAGATTTACAGTCAAAAAAAGAGGCAGCAGCATTACTTTTGCAAGCGATTAAGCAGAATGAGAATCCAAATAAATGCTTGAGGGAATCAGTTTCTTTCATACTTATATCATCAGTTTTCCTCCTCAAAATGCCAAAATCAGTTTAGCCACAGAGCAGAAAAGGTTCCTGTTATACTTAAGTTTTTCCGAGGCAAAGAAACCCAAAGTGCAGCTAAATAGCCAAATAAAGGCATGGACCCTAAAAGGTACACCTTTTAATAGCAATATTAGAAATAGTTAATCAACTAGAGAATGAACTCTATCAAGCAAATACCTTTCTAGTCTTCCACAAACCAAATATTCTGCAAGTAAATATTAAGATTTTTACATAAAAGTGTACGTACATGCCAATTAGTTGCAATCATTAATCTGGGCTAGTTTACAACACTGGGAAGTAAAAAACTGCATACTGAAACAAAGCATGTGATTTTCATATACGCAAACACACTGAATTCACAGATGAGTCATTTCTGAGCTCAGGCCCAGTATGGCAAGTTTTATTCTTGTTCCAGTTTCTATGTAAGACAAAAATGCTAGAAGAAAAACAGGGTTTTGGAAATGAAAATGCTGACAGATTTGATTCTCCATTAGAGATGTACACTCACTTTTTAAATGCCTAGAACCATCAAATGATCCTATAGGATCATCCAACCCAGAAGGGAACATCCTTTGCCAAAAAAATATAGTTCAGGCATTTTGGCCCGGAGATGTGAATTTTATCAATCTAATTTTTCTTCAGGAATCTTCAGCACCTTGAACAGCCCAGAAGGTAACTTAATCTACAACCTCCCTATGAACCAGCATCAGCTGTAAGAGTATGCATGTGTATCTGGTTAAAACAAAAGATATTTTCAGATAATTGGAAGCTTAAGAAGCTTCCACAGCCAGAACACAACACAACGCACAAAGTTGGGCTAGTACTATTTTATTCTTTCTATGGAGTTTTTAAATAGCAAAAAGGCTGTAGAGAACAGCCAGTTTTAATCATACCCTATAAAAATAATACACAATAGTTACACTATTTAGAAATATTAAGTTACTGAGGGAATACAAAGCTTTTGGAGCTATGAACTTCAAGATGAACCAAAATTATCTCGTTTAGCTGTAAGGATAAGTGGTGAGTGTGCTTCACCCTGCAGGTAACTACTTTTTAGAAAACAAAGAGTGATTCCTACATGCGTACTTTATGAAGAACTACAGCATTCTTCAGTTAAAGAACAGTGTACAGGAAAGATTACAAGTGAGGAAAATGCAAATTCAGAAGCAAACTTACACACACTCATGCGTATGCTATCCTGTGCATTATTCTGAGCGTAAGCTATGCAATTCAGAAGCAAAGACCTGTTGGCGAAACACTGGCTTCAAAACTCAACTTTGTAGGTAGTTTGCAGAACAGGTTCTTCAGAATAATTTTGTTAAATATTTAAGAAGGAACAGTCCACATTCTTATTATGAAAGCAAACAGGGAAAAAGACAAGATGTCCTCTGGAGCACTATTTTTATTTTATTGTGAGAAAACATGAACAACCATAAGCCTTACCACTTCAGAACGTTCCAAAATTTTATTCAAGAAATAAATGAGCATGCCCAAAATTTAAAGTCCTTTGGAGCTTTTCATCCAAAGAAAGTGCAAAGCAATTTGCATCTAGAAATGAATCGCTTCTCTCACTGTATTTCTCTCCCTGGGTAGAACTTAACAGGTCAGAAGATTTTTACCAAGAACTTAGGGCAAAATGAACGTTATGCCCAACTGTAAAAGCCAAAGAATTATAAAAACAAGTAAAAATAAACAATGTCTGGCTTCCTAAACTAAATAAAGCAAACATGACATTCTAAGCGAAGACATTAAGTACTCCTTTCCCCCTGTCTCATTTCTTAAGAATAATGGAAGCAAGTAGCAGGTGACTTAGAAAGAAAATCAGAAGTAGACCAAGAATTAACACTGACCAGAATAGCGAACTAAACAATCTCTCTATTCAGGTAACCTTATTAAACAGAAGAAAGAATATAGATTTAAAATTTCATCTTCAAGTTAACCAACAATTTGAGTAAACTATTGCTATTAGAAGAAAACTAACTACACAGAAGAAATTGTTTTATGTAGCCTTCTAACATATACGTTATACAGTAAATAAGTAGCACAGGACTGAGTATTTCATTGTCACTAAATGACAGCATTCTTATTCTACCTTAATTCTGAGACTGTTCATTAATACTGTAATGCCTATGATTATCCGGCTTTGCAATAATCAACTCCCTTTTCCTCCTTTGGCAACTCTGGAACGGATCTGATTTAGCTTCTCTTTGCTGAAAAATGTTTGCAGTGTCAGGCAGGATTACACCTTTATACAAAGCAGGAGAGGAGGGCAGAAGGAATTTACTTTTTACAGACTAATATTTATGTAATTAAATTTTTCGTAAAGAGCTAGAATATGTTCCCACAGTTGGTCGTAACTTTTTCGAGTTGTGTTTCTTTAACGCAGAACTCCAAACCTTCTAAGGGGACTCTAAGTCTCCAAACAGATGTTTCAAGGTCTGATTACTTCCTCCCCACCTTGTTTGCTTTTATAAAGCAGAACTGATTAACACGGCTTGCTAGTCTCTGCTACTCAGCATGCTAAGTTACTAAACACTTTGGGAAAGTTTTCTTTTAGGAAGATGTGTGTCTATTCCATTTGAAATATGTTTTCTGCTTTACTTGGTGTGGTTGAGAAGCTGATGTTAATAACATAACAAATATCTAGGGGAATTAAATCACAGGAACACATTTTGGAATACAGGTCTGAGAAGCGCGAAAAACTGAGCTCTGTTCCTAGTTCCTGTGCCAACTTTCTTAGCAACAGTACACAGTTCTGAGCTGTCCACTTCTATTTTCCCTACCCATGAATGCAGGAGACTAATGGTTATGTACCTGAGAGTGGCTTTAACGCACTGGGTAATGTTTCTAGCTATTGGGAATATAACATACTAATAAGGGCTATTTGAAAGACTTACAGGACCTTGAAATTAATGGTCCACACTTTAGATCTTGTTTTCCACATAGCATTGATTATACAACATTTACAACTAGGGCATGGACAGGCAGTCACTCCTTTCAACTGTAACTGAAGTTAACTTCTAATACGCTAGCAGTCAGCTTGGTTAGGTTTTAGAATCTTGTGATTTACGTCGCTCATGACTTTGTACAGAATGTTGACTTTGTACACACCTAAATATTGCTTAAGTCCCAGGCAATTTCAACTGTCAAATGAGAGCAAGTACAACCACCAAAATGGCACAGATGAATATGTGCTAATCTATTAGATCTCAGTCTGGGAGTAGGGCTTACCCAGAATTGGAAACAGGTATTTGAGAAGCACAGCTTCTCTTCCCCTTCTAAATTTCTAGATAAATAGAGAATCTGGGATAGATCCAAGATGGAAGATAGACAAGAATGTATTTTTATAACAGTTTTACCAACATGTGGAAGACTCAAGTGCGACTGAATGGTTTGACTGAGAATAAGAAATACAACATGACATCATTAGATTGCCCAATGGGTCAGTAATGACTGGAATGTCTAATAATACAATAGATTCCGCATGAAATTAATTCAACTGAATCTAATTTCTGCAGAACATTTTACAAAGCCAAGACATCCTCAGCAAGGAAGCCAAAGGCTGAAGGAACTGAAAACTGAACTCTTCTATCTCTCCAAGAGGTGAGCTCTGCAGGCCAAAGCTACAAACATGGGAATGACAGTAAGAAGTATTTCTAGGATTTTTTTTTTCTTTCAGCTCCAGCACCCTCATTAGATTGGCCATGAATCCCCACCACCTTCTGTCAAAGCTAAAGTTGCTTAATAAAACATAGAGGTATTAATATAGCTCCACAAATACATATGCACACCTCCGAGGAGCACTAGCAACATTTGTAAAAAGTAAAAGCGCCTAGAAACTTACTTTAATTTTCTCTCTCAGAACTGTAGACGGCATGGAAAATTTTGGCTTCCTTCAAGTAAGTAAATAAAAGTCCAAACCAGCAGCTCAATTCCACTTGTCATCAGTTTTAGGATTTTGTTCAGGTAGCCTCCAAAGAAATTAAGCTGACAACACTCAGCACATACTGACACAGGCAAGAGCTTGAGACAGAAGCATTTGCAGCTATTTTCAAAGGAGACAACAGACAGCAGCTTGCAGCAAGAGGGTAGCCAACTCACAGAAAGTAGCATTTATTTAGGTAAGGTGTTATTTTCCTTAGAAATAAACACACTTGGAGGCCTAGCATCTCTTTATAAGCTCTTTACAAGCCAGCACAGGATCAGGTTACAGAGTCTATTCATATAATGTTTATAAGTTCTAGTGTTAATGCCACTAATGGTGCTCCGGTGTAGAGTGCAAGACAGATCAATGTAAATCTTTTGATTAGTTTGTGAAAAGAAAAACACTGGGCATAAGGCAAGGAAAGGAATACTTTCTGTAACATTTAGATCAAGGGGAAAAATATTCCATGAAGGGAACTTTCTAGCCTTCTGTCCTTTCACAGCCCATGATTTGGTGGGAGTTGGTAAAGTTAGCAAAGGGGAAAAAACAAGATTTGCAAAAAGGTAGTAAAAGTTAACTGCGCATAAACCACCACTTCCTCAGCTTCTAGGTGAGGCACCATGATGCTGTAAGATTCTGACCCACTGCAGGAGCTCTGTGTTTCCAAAATGCCTTGAAAAAAATTTATGAAGCCTTGAAAAACTACCATTTTCACATTGGCGAAGGTGACTCTACTTTAATGCTTTCCTTTTTGTTGCTCTTATTTAGT